GATTGTCTAGAAGAAGTTAATTGTTTCACATTTTATGCATTTAGAGTTTAATTTTTGTTTTCTGAGACTAAAGAAATTATCATTGATTTACAAATTTAGAAACTAAACCGTAATTTGCCTATAAAAATATATTTGCCTCAGAAACTTTTCAACTATACATCTCTTAATTTTTTATCAACGTAGATGACAAATTTTGATTGAGTGATTGTTTCTGTAATATCTGAAAGCAATAAATTCGAAAAAAAATTACTAAGAAAAAATGTAATTCCTTCCTCACTTTTGACCTAAACTAAAAAAGTAGTGCGATTTAAGTGATAATATTAATATTTAAAAAAAAATTAAAGTGAGGTTAAAATAACAATATAAACCCTTATTTTGATCTTTTACTTATAGGTAGAAACTGATGTGTGAGTATTTTAAAAGACTAAAATGATGACTTTTTCTTTTCATAACAAAACCACAAATAATATTGTTAGACTATTAAGAAAGTTTGTAACTCTTTTTAAGAATTTTGTGTTACACCAGGCTGAACATGTTTCAATTATGGTTATACTTTGGTATTCCAAACTTTACAGAAAACTGTTCATATATTAACTGTATGCAGTATTGGCTTTGGATCCATTAATTGGGGCCATATCTGCTGGAAATGTTGTAGTCATAAAACCTTCAGAGCAAGCTCCAGCTTGCTCTTCTTTCCTTGCCAATACCATTCCTCGCTACTTAGACTCTAATGGCATCAAGGTGATTGAGGGCGGAGCAGATGTTTGTGAACAACTACTGCTACAAAAATGGGACAAAATATTCTTCACTGGTATTGTTTTCCATACCAACCACTACAAACATATATAGATATATTTACTGTGTATATCAAACTAAATAAGTGTCTGGTGTAAAATTTGCAAAGTGAGTTACATTTAGAAACTTGTCTCTCCAAAGTTCACCATTTTATTTTGCTAGGTTTTATGCTTATAATCTCATTTAAAAATATTATCCTATGAAGAGAACTACAAACTGATTTGTGGTTGTAGAGTTATTTGTTCATGGTGTATGAAATTTTTAGGAAGTCCACGGGTGGCAAGCGTAGTCATGTCTGCTGCAGCAAAGAATTTAACTCCTGTTACTCTAGAGTTAGGTGGAAAATGCCCTGCCATACTTGATTCCCTTCCCAATCCTTCAGAATTTAAGGTAGTTCACATGAGTTATTATGCTTGCCACATTCATTCAATTTGAATGTCTAATTCAGTTTGCTTTTCTCTGCACATTATCATGGGCATCAAGTTCGCAGTCAAAAGAATTGTAGGAGGAAAGTGGGGACCTTGCAGTGGACAAGCTTGCATAGGAGTAGACTATTTGCTTGTTGAGGAGAGGTTCTCTTCTTCTCTGGTAATCATCACAATCACAGACTCCGCTATTTGTTCGAAACTTTTGTTTTCTAATATTGAAGTTGTTGGTTTTTTCTAGATAGAGCTATTCAAGAAGATAATCAGAAGATTTTATGGTGAAAACCCACTGGAGTCAAATGTACTTTCGAGAATAGTAAACAAGCATCAGTTTGAGAGAATACGCAATCTTCTCGAAGACCCTCTTGTTGCTGCTTCCATCGTTCATGGCGGTTTGGTCGATGAAGAAAACCTGTAAGTTCTACCTGCTGCTGGGAAATAGAAGTGGAAGTGGTTAATTAGTTTTCTTCTAACTCAGCAATTTCTTACAACCTTTTTAGGTTCATCGAGCCTACAATCTTGTTAGATCCTCCACTAGATTCTCAGATAATGACAGAAGAAATATTTGGTCCACTGCTCCCTATAATCACAGTGAGCAATCTCATTTTATGTTATCAGTTCTCGAATATATCATGTCATTGTCTCATTCAACTGTTGAAATTTGAATGTGTGCAGCTGAATAACATTCAAGAAAGTATTGAATTTATCAATGCAAAACCGAAACCGCTTGCCATTTATGCCTTCACCAAAGATGAAACTTTCAAGAGAAAAATTCTATCGGAAACATCCTCAGGAAGTGTCATATTCAATGACACATTGGTTCAAGTACTGTTTTTCTCTTGTCTGTCTTCCCTGACTCAATTTTGCCTTTTATCAAGAAAAATATATAACGTAAAGAAACATTGTAATACGTTCACTGTATGTGCAGTTTCTATGTGATACGCTACCATTTGGAGGTGTTGGGCAGAGTGGTTTTGGAAGGTACCATGGGAAGTACTCTTTTGACACTTTCAGCCATGAAAAGGCAGTAATGCACAGAAAACTGTTCCTTGAAATTGAGCCAAGGTACCCTCCTTGGTCTAGGTTCAAGCTAGAGTTTCTGAAATTGGCATACAGGCTGAACTACTTTGGACTACTACTGCACATGATGGGCTTCAAACTCGGCTTGAAAAGATACAACTAGATCAGTAGGACAAAGGGTCCTTATTTGCAGAAGTTGCTCATCTAGGAACATCAACTTGGGGCTGTAATAAGCGAACCTTTTTATCTCTTATTTTCTTGCTACTAATCGTATGTTTCTACTTCCCAGGTCCTATGGTCCAATCAATGTCCAACATATATGAACATCTCTTTCCACCTGCATTTGTGCCACACCTTGATGGCTGAACTATAAATAAAGGGTTAACCCGAACCACTAAGTTTCCTATTTTCCTCACTCTACATGTTATACTTGTTCTATTTGTTAAGGTTTTGGTTTTTGTCTCTTTCATTTTTTTTTTTTTATTTGGAATGGGTGGACTACGGCTTCTAAGGATGTTTCGGTGCAGAGATTGAAATAAAAAGGAATACACTAAATTAATTATTCTAAAAATTTGTCAATATAATTTTTTGACGAACACACTAGAGTTTATAATTTATTCCTCCTATTTTTAGAGAATAAAAAATCAGACAAACAACAACTGGTTGACTCATCTATTTTAATATCTAAATAGAAAACGGTGGTGTTATGCTAATCTACTTAACTTTAATTTCATTCAATTCTCCTTTAATTTTGTAAATGTGATATTACTCATTACCAACAATTATCTTTTTTATCTTTGCTATAGTGAATATTTTCAAAGTCACTGTGAGAGCTTCTTCAGGACGTATTTAAAGCTTATATATATATATACTTGTGTGAAAAAACTTTGAAGAAAGCGTTTGGAGGGTTATGATTATATTATATTGTTTTTGTTTTGATGTATAATGTCTTATTCCAGGTTCAATAATTATATTTACTTGTGGATGTGACCCAAATCCCTATCATCAAATGCCACAACGTTTTGTGTACAATCATCAATCACTCACGACCACTTGACATTGTTATGACTTTATTTTCTTGCATTCCTGATAAAAGCTTTTGGTACATTAATCTTAATTTTATTAAAGAAACAAACAATTCAATATGAGATCCATCTTTGTGTAAACAAGATGAAAAAGTGAAGAAATAAAAAAAATTTATAAATATATGTAATTGATTTGATCGAAATAAAAAGATACATGAAGAGGGGCACTTGAAAGGGTGTCTTAATTGACAATAATTGCTAATGATAACTAATTATAAGTAGCCATTAAGTTGATGGCATTATGTTTTCATTTTGTAAAAGCTAGGTTTCTTGCAAATTAAGACTTAACACGTGTACTATTATTGAGTAGTTTGATTTGAATACTAAAAATATATTAAGAAATTATCTTCAAAAAATAAAAAATGATATTCTTAACATCGACACGTTTTATTATATTTTAAGTAGTTGTTGAGAATGGCGAGATGGAGAAGAAGAACGTCCACTCTTAACCTTAATTTTTGTTTTGGCCAAACAGCAAACAGCTTTATTACAAAAGAGTACCAGATACTGATCAGCAGAGTACAAGACGGGACCCACCACCACCTTAAGATTACTGATTTCTTTTTTTTTTTTTCAAAACTTCTTTCTCTTACAAACACATATTTTTATTATATTACACACCATCATGATCAAAAAGGGTTTTTTCTGTAATTATGTAAAGTTTTTTTATCCATATAAAGAAACATACATCATAAGACACTGTAAAGATGTTAATCTATGTTTTGATTTAACTTATTAAATATATTATTTGATGAAAAATATATTTATAATATAAAATATTTAAAAAACATATAAAAAAACATTGATGAAAATAGAAAAAAATCATGAAAAAACTTTATTAATCAACTCAAATTTTTGTAATATCATAAACGCAAACAATTGAGCTAAGAAGATTCAAACCACTTCCACTGTTCAAATAATGTACTGTTCACTTTCTGCCGCCGATTATCTTTTTCAATTAAATAAAAGTAATGTGTGATGACAAGCTTTAAGAATAAATTCTCTGACCGTAAACTTTTAAATTGAAAATTAAAAGGGAAAAACTTTATGAGCACATGTAAACGAAGGAAATTAAATATACTTTTTGAGCGTTTAGAACTTAAACAAAATAAAGTGATTGATATATAAAAGAAAAGAAAAGGAGAGAGAGAAAGAAAAATAATTGCAGAGGAAGGAGGAAGGAGGAAGGGAAAGGCATGGCATGGGTGGGGTTATTAGGAGATGGGAAAGAAGTGGGATTAATAACTATCTAAATTGAGTCGAGACAAAATAAACGATCACGGTTGATTAGGTGAACCCAATAAGGCCATCACATTAAATGATTGCTTCAAGCCCTAGATCTTCAGAATCTCCCTCTCAATGTGTGTAACCCCACTCTCATTTATAAGGAAGGACAAAAAGAAGTTTCTTCCTTCACTTATCAAACATCCACTAACTCTCTCTCTCTCTCTCTCGTTTTCCCTTTTTTATTTTATTTTTTTCACCCCTCACACCACCACCACCACCCAAAACAGTGATGTACGACCTATCAGCTGCATGAACGGAAACTTAGAAGTTACCCCAGAGTGTCATAACTCAAACTCATACAGAGAAGCCTCAACAAGATTGGTAGAAGGGTTTCGGAGTCACCAAAGGAAGAGGGCAACTCAGAAGAGTTTCTTTGATTTTCTGTGACATGGAATGGATTATGGGAGTATGGACTCTGATGGGTATCCTTATATCTTGGTGGTATTGGTTTCTGTGTCTGAAAAAGGAGAACAGTAATAGGGTGAAGCAGCAGAAGAAGAAGAAGAAGGGGAAAGTTCCTAAAGGGAACACAGGTTGGCCTTTACTTGGAGAGACCCTTGAGTTCATTGCTTGTGGCTATACCTCCAACCCTGTCAGCTTCATGGAAAAGCGCAAGTCTCTGTAAGACTCTTCTATTCCTTTCCATTAATTAATTATGCTTCTTTTTGTTACTTTTGTTTTTCTGCACTCTCTGAGTCATTAACTCATGCCATATCTCATTCTCTACGAGTGTGCTGACATGCATGCTCAGCCAACACAATTTTTCTTTTTCTTTTCTCTTTAGTCCTTTACCTATCTTCTCCACTCTAGGACGGTTGGAGCATTACATCATTGATGCACATAAGTGATTTCCTGAGTGACAACAACTATCAATGGTCAATTTATAATAGAGATATATGTTTGTGATTCCTTATTAGGTATATATCCATACACGTATATATATTAATAAAATATAGCAGAATAATGAAAACCACTAAAAGTCTTTGTCCCCATGAACATATCTCCTTACTCCTAGTCTATTCTTTGTGAAGGCCCAACTTTTAACAACTCTGTGTGGTCCTTTACAATGTTCGCATATTTTTATCGGTGATCATGTGTTAGTGGCAATTCTGTCCTTGTACGTGGTCCACTTGTACACTATTCAAGCAAATGGGGAGAAAAAAAGTTCTATTTCTTAGAGTTTTTAATTTAAGAAAATGTTTAAGAAGTATTTACTCAACTCGCTATCACCACAGAATTTAGGAAATATTTCTTTCTGCTGTTTTAGTCTTAAACTTTAGATTTTAAATGTTCAAAAAAGAACTATTCAACCAGCCTGTATCTATATTTTTTTATCATTTATATACCTGTACTCAGTTTAGCAACCTTCTTGGTAACTTCAAGTAACATGATTGGAGAAAGAATAAATGACATTGTTTTTGGATAAATATGCATGTATAATATAGCGAAACGTGGTAAGAGAGAGAAAAGGAAACAATGGGATGTCAAATGAGTTAGTGTTGGAGATATTTGTGAATTCCTATATCTCACCCATCTTCCTAAGTTATGAAAAGGATAACTGTTGATAGATATTTAAGATATAAAGAAAAAAAAGAGTACCCAAATGATTAGTAAAACGATTTGATGAAACTACAAATATTAATGAAATGTTTAAAGTGATAAGATAGTGTTGTGATAATTAGGATGTTTACTTTGCAAAATTATGTTTTATTGCAAAGGGCTTGTTGATATTCTTTGCTGGAAAAAACCAATTTTGTTTTGAATTGATATCCTTTACTCAGATTGAAATCATTGCCTAATTCTCTAATAATCTCTTCTCTTGGACTCTAACAAAACACTGTGTTTAGAAAAATTCTTTCTTTTTGTAAAAGGAAACAATTTTGTAAGAGCAAAGGTCTTATTTTTCTGTGATGAAGAGAGGGAAGGAGACACTTTATGCACAGATAAGGACAAAAGACAGTTTTACTATTATGCGTGCATGGTTGAACCAACCAACTAGAAATTAATGAGTGCTAAATTAACAATGGGGGGTAAATGGTCAGTAACAGATAGTGAAGGAACATATTTCCTTCGAATCAAGTGATAAAAAATGGCATTTCACATCACAGTTTCTACATAGAGAAGCACCTAGCAGTGCCTAAGCCACAGAACCCCTAAAATCGAATTGAATGAAGGAAGGTGAAGATATATATGTATGGTAGTACAGATCACAGAGCTCCATAATTCAGAACATTAAAACCCTTGTGATACAATTAATATATATGAACCATTTATGGTTGTACCGTTGTAGGCTTGCAGCTTCTATAGAGAGAATAGCATATCCAAAGAAGGAAAAGCAGAAAAGCCTGCTTCTGCCATAACTGGAGCTATTCTAGATTCACCTTTGGACTGTAGTGGGTTGTAGAACTTCTAGTTGCAGTTGCTTCTGCAACCAATAACCACACACATTGTTCAGGTTCAATTTCCCTTTTAGTCTCTTTAGTTTATATTATGTTTGATTTTCATCTTTCTAATAGTTTTATTTGAGTCAATTAAATTCTTTTTCTCACAACAACAACCACAACAAAATGTGTACATCCTTCTATCAAATTTCTTTTACTTAAAACTCTAATTTCTCATTTTCTATTCAAATCTTCACAAACTAATTTTATTAAATTGCTTTCAACTTTCTTTTATTATTCCACACTCACTCATATAAATATTAAATTCCACTTTCCAACTCATAGTTTCTTAAAAGATTCTTATTGTTTGAACTTCTGAAATTATTTTATACTATGTATATATTTGAAAAAAAAAGTGTGAACCTGATAAAAGAAAATTGATAGAAGGGCCGGTTTTGCTTGATTTCAATAAAATAAAAATTTAGTTGGCTCAAAAAAACTTGAGAGTAAAATCACATGTAATTTAAATTAAAGGGAAAATGTTAATAAGTCTAATTGTAATAAAAGATGAATATTTTAAAGGAAAAAAAATTCAAGTAGTGTTAGATAAATATATAGTTTTTCAACAAAAAATAAAAGGGTGTTAGAACTATATGCTGCATTTAATTTAATAACCAAGTGGATATATTTTTTTATTTTTTTTAAGGATCAAGTCCAGTATTTAATTTCTTATATTCTTTTACATGTAATACTTTATAAAATAAGAGGATGAATAAAAAATGATTAATTACTCCTTTAAATTTTATAAATACACATTTTAGGTTTTAATGTTTAAAAAAATTCACTCTAGTTCTTAACATTATTATTATTAGTTTTTACCATATAAATTTTGTAAGATCTGAAAGTAATTAAAAATAATATATATAAAAGTTAAAAAAATAATTTAAAATATAGTAACTAAAAATTAAAGTTTTTGTAATTCTAGAAGAAATATAGAATTAAACCTAAAAAAATATTGCAAGATATCTTATTAATTAAATGAGAAAAGTAGAAACATGATTACTCAAATTGTGTATTTGGGGTGTGAATATTTGTGTGCAGGTATGGTAATGTATTTAAGACAAGCATTTTGGGAACTGGTGTGATTGTGTCGACAGACCCAGAAGTGAACAAAGTGATTCTGCAGAACCAGGGGAACATATTCGTCCCTGCATATCCAAAATCGGTCAGAGAACTAATGGGAGAACACTCTATCCTCCAAATGAACGGGAACATGCATAGGAAAATCCACTCACTCCTTGGAGGGTTCCTACGATCCCCTCAATTCAAAGCTCGAATCACTAGAGATATTGAACACTCTGTTAAACAGTGCTTTGCAACTTGGACCCACCAACCAATTTACGTTCAAGATCAAGTAAAAAAGGTCTCCATTTTTAATTTCATTAACATGAAAAGCTTTCCTCTTTTATCCATGTCTTATATCATGCACCTTAATTTCATCAAGTTAAAGAAAAATGGCTTGGTGATGTAACCTTTAAGCTACTACAAACGTTTGCGTTTGTTTGTATGTGTACATTGACATGATGTTTGATTATTAATCAGTTCAATGGCTAAGGGATTTTTTTTTTTTACTTTTCCCCGGACATATATCAGATCACATTTACTATTTTGGTTAAAGTTCTACTGAGCATTGGTCCCGGTGAAGATTTAGACTTCTTGAAGAGAGAATTTGAAGAGTTCATAAAAGGGTTGATTTGCTTACCCCTCAAGTTTCCTGGAACAAGACTATATAAATCCTTGAAGGTTATTTCTTCCCCACTCTACATACACTACGAAAACGACAAAAACTAGTATTTTTTTTTTTTATCATTAATTATGGGGTCACAAATTTCCAGATTTTTGTTTTAAATTACATGTAAATTGTTCTGTCACTAATTTTGATTTGTAATATTTGGTAGTAGTAGTAGTTGTTGAATTAATTAATTAAGGAATGAATTGTGCAGGCTAAGGAAAGAATGATGAAGATAGTGCAGAGGGTAATAGAGGAGAGGAACAATAATATCCATAACAATAAGGATTCAGAAGAGAAGGAAGGTGCAGCAAATGATGTGGTGGATGTGCTCTTAAGGGATATTGGTGATAGCAACACTGTCTCTGACATGTTGGAAAACATCTGTGAGAACATAATTGAGATGATGATCCCTGGGGAGGAAACTCTTCCCACAGCTATGACCATGTCTGTCAAATTTCTCAGTGACTATCCCCTTGCTCTATCCAAATTACTGGTACATTTTCTCTCTTATTATGAAACTATATTCTACGTCATGTTATATGACAATGTAAAAACTTTTATATTGTCCTCCTTTACGTTCAGTGCTGTGAACAATTAAGTTAGATAAAACATTAAGTGGTTTTTAATAGTGCAGGAATACTCAAACACAGAACAGTAATAAAACAGAAGCACAAGTACATAATTAAATATTTGACATGATCGTCACACTTTAATTATAAACATTATGGTTCATCTTATTGACATACAAATTAATTGACATGATGTCTAACAGTTCGCATCTGCCATTGACAGAAAATATTTTATGCAAATCCATATCATTGGCCTGTGTCTATCCTTTCCTCATATTACATGCATTCTTTTTTACATTAACCCAAACTAAATTTCTCTTCAAGTAATTTTGGATGACAATTCAAGTAATTAATACACAAAGTTCTTCCTAAGTTTTCGAGATAAGATTAGAAATATGTTTGAAACCATTGACTTTGTATAGCAAACATGAGTGGAATCTAGAAAAAAAAAATGATGGAGCCTACAGATTGGTGCTCGTGTGGGTGTTGGCCACAATAAAGAAGTGTCTGAAGTAATCTAAGAAGTCATTTTCCTTTGGAGCACTATGAAGCGTACGCGAGTTTGAAGTGGGGCTAACATAGACGTGAATCTGAATGTGGATGATTGTTGTGTTTTATTTCCTTGCCCTGTGGTGCTACATATTGAACGTCTCTTGAACTAGGACCACCAATTAAATTCTTCCACTAGATAGAGACCCTTTTGTTTTCCCAGTTACCGTACTCACTTTATCTTCCTTTTTTTGTACTATGAAAATTTTCACATTTTTGCTCGTTCTTTATCGTAGGGAAAAGTTACATTTATGTTATATTTGGTTCCGTTGATTTATTTGATTGTTTCACGCCAGGAAGAGAACATGGAATTGAAGAGGAAGAAGAATAGTTCGGATGATTATGTATGGAGTGACTACCTTCAGCTTCCATTTACTCAAAATGTGAGACTCTAACGGTAGCTATCAAAGGCAAAATAAATTTCCAACCGATTATTATAAAGAAAATATCATGTGACAGTTTTTTTTCCTTTCTGTCTTTCATTTATCACCACAAGGTTATCAGCGAAACTCTTAGAATGGCAAATATTGTCAATGCCATTTGGAGAAAATCAGTGAAAGACGTAGAAATTAAAGGTAGGTTTCTAAAGAAAAGGAGACGATGATTTTGGTAATTGACCCTAAAGCATTTGTACAAAATTTGATGCAGTTTTACTATTTTGACTGTGTAGGGTATTTAATTCCTAAGGATTGGTGTGTTGTGGCATCTCTTACTTCTGTTCATATGGATGGCATGAATTATGAAAACCCTTTTAAGTTTGATCCTTGGAGATGGGAGGTAAGTTAGCAAGCAAGGCAGCATAAAAAAACTTCTTGATCTGATAGCTATATAAGGAAAGCATAAACCCATAATCACTATGTTATTTATGAGTACAGAAAACTGGAGCTGGGGCTAATAGGAATTGCTTTACACCATTTGGTGGTGGACAGAGACTGTGCCCTGGCATAGAACTCTCAAGGCTAGAGCTCTCTATTTTCCTTCACCATCTTGTTACTACTTACAGGTAACAACTTCTATAGAAAAATTAAAAGCCACTTTATGATTTCATTCTATAAATGGTTTGTACTATGCAGATGGGTTGCTGAGAAGGATGAAATCATCTACTTTCCAACAGTTAAGATGAAGAGGAAGCTCCCAATTAGTGTAACAACCATTAACACCTAATTGGATTGAAGAATGAATGAATGCATTGTTGTACAGTAGATTCATAGATAGGTGTAGATATTTGTTTCAGTGTAGAGAGTAAAATATTAGGAGAAAGGGGACTATGTATTCTTGTGTTAGCTCTAATGTCACATCTATTTTGAGAGGAGAAAGGTGTCTTTGGGCCCTCCTATAATATTGAGAAATTGAATGCAAGTGGGAATTATTGAAGCTAACTCTCACATCTTGAGTCTCTGTCCATTAAATTTTTCTGTTTGATTGTATTGTGATGTTTGTGGTGGGTTTGGATCTCCATGTGGGTTTTGTTGTTCTCTTGGTCCCATGCCATGATATGGGCTCGTGCTCCACTATCCACTGTTGTTTTCTCAATTAGTGGAATTGTACAACTCTTGTACCAGCGACACGATCCCACAATAAACAATTATATGTTTTATGCAAAAACTATGCTTTGTATCTTCTGCATTGCTTTTACTCTAGTCTTGCCATTAGTTGTAGATTCAACACTCGTTGAATGTAACTCACTCTTCTGCTCTTACTCTGTTACCACCATTCATACCTTATCATCTTTCCTCTCCAAAAGTTTCCTGCAACCACCACGACCTCATGCAAGGTGCTTGTCACGTGACTATCTCCGAATCAACGCCGAAGTTTCTGCCAACCCTCCCTTCAGTTTCTTTTGTTAAACCTCCATTATTCACAGCTCAAAATTGTGATAACCCTTCATATTGGTTTTATATATCCCTAATATCCCTCCTCTCCATCATTTACCTTCACTTCAAAATCACTTGAGTTGAGTGCTTCATTTTTTATGAATAAATAAAATATCAAGAGTTGTTTTCTCATATAAATAATAATTACTAGCTTTATAGCTTGCAATGTATTAATTTTTTTACTGATATTATATCCAGTAAAATTGATCTGTGGCTAGTAATGAAAAAAAAGGAGAAATTTGTGTAAGTATTTATTAAAGTGAAATGGAGAGAGTAAAACCTAACAAAAACATTAAAATAGTGTAATTCAATTCTCATTTTACCAAAATGGATATATCTTAAAAAATTTATAAATTTGGATAAGTGGTGTCTAAAAACACTATTTTATTAAAAAGAATCATGTTTCTAAGCACTATTTTTTATTTATTTTTTATAAAAAGTACAACTGCTTGGTTTTATATATTTTTTAGCAAGATAAACTATATTTATACGCATAACTTTAAGTTTATTTATTATTTTACAAGTCTTGTTTAAGTATATGACTTTAAATTTTTTGTAGAATTCGTGCCCAAGATACACAATTTTATGCTATTTTTTATTTTTTTATGTCCTTGGTGGATATCTTTTTTCGTTGACTCATTTTATTATTGTATATTTTAAAAACATTAAAGAATAAAAAAATGATAAAATATGTTTTCTACTTTTATTAATGATATATATATATATATATATATATATATATATATTAAGAATAATTAAGCAATAATGTTTGTTTTAATGGAGAAGAGGAAGAAAGGGGAGAAGGAGACAATTGGCATTGTTTTTGTTTGTTTAATTGAGAGAGAGAAAAAAAAGAAATAAATCACCTACTATATTATTTTTCACATTTTTTTTATTATCTTTATTATTACGTTATATCACATCAAATAAATTACAAAATTTCCAAAACACTTTTTATTTATTTTTACTGAAGCAGATAAATAAATATTCAAAATTTCTTTTTGTTTATTTGTATTTTTTTTTAACTTATTTCTTCTCAATTTTTATCCGTAAAATCTAAGAAAATGTAAAATATTGTAGTGGTCTGGAGAATAATTTTTAGATGGTAGGAGATGGTTTATAAAGAGTTAAACACCGTTATTAGATTATATATATGATAAAACTGGTAATTTTTTTGAAATCAGTCTTGTTCAAACCCTAGATCCTTTTTTTTTTCTAATTCCCACAAAACCAAATTTTTTGGTTGTAATATGATTATAAATCTTTCTTGTGGTGTAATGTTTGCACTCGGCCCTGACTCTGCACTAGCAGCCCTTTACTTGAGGAAGGAAAGCATTGGGCCATTCGCAACATGTTGTTGCCCAACGATCTGAAAAAAGAAAGAAAGGAAAAAGTCATTTCTACATACTATTAATACTAGTTATTGTTATTCTTATTATACGACGATAATACTCTTTTAAGAATTTAAGTGCGTGAGTTGAAATTCACATTCAGAAAAAAATAAAAAAGTTGAATCACAAATGAAAAAAAAATTCATAACCTAACATCTTATGCCTTTTTATTAAAAATAATATTATATTATTTTTTTATGTGATTACATATGTAAAAAAAATATATTCCTAAATACGTATATAGAAAAAGATTTTTAAAATAATATTAAAAAATGGGATTTAGAAATAGAATTGTGAAAATAGACGCTTCAACCTAAATTCACCTTACTAGGTGTGGCAATGGGATAGGGTGGGTCGGGGAGGGTTTTGTCTCCCAATTTCTACCCCGACTTTTTTAATCATTTCTATTTTCGTCGGAGTTAGAAATTAATTCTTCATTCCTGTTCCCATTGAGTTTTAGGTTCTTCGTCCCCCATCTATATTATTTTTAAAAAAATAATTACATTTATAATAAATTAATTTTACTATGTATTTTTTATATATAAATAAATATTTATAATTTTATAATTTATAATAATTATTAATTAATTATATATTTTAATTTATTATATTTATATTAAAATATGTATGTAAAAGAAATAGTTAATCATTATTTATTTATATATATAAAATATTTATAACATTATTATTATTATTATAACACTCGCATTCAAATATTTGAATACTTATAACATTAATATTATTATTATTATAATATTGTATTCAAACATTTGATTACATATATAAGATAATTCATTTTTAAGTTGTCATTTAAAAATATGAAATATATAGTTTATAAGGAAATATATAATAAATTAATTCTTATTTAATTAGTTCGAAGTAATAAAAGTTTAAATTATCAATTCCTTTTAATCCTTTAAAATACAATTATTTTATGAAGATAAAATTTGATATATGATAAATAAGAATAATAAGATAAAAAAAATGACATAATAAAACTTAATAAATATAAATTATAAATAAAATAATATTAGTTAATACTAAGATTTATGTAAAATATTTAGAATAAGATAAAGAAGAAAAAAATAATAATTTTGTGTTCATCAAATTGGTTGAAAATATTGAAAAAAAAATTGATAGGAGAGATTAAGGAAATGTGAAAAACTGGTAAGGGATAAAATAATGTAATAAATTAATTGATAAAAAGATTAAAAAAGAAAAAAAAATTAAAAAGTTGGTAGAAGAAAAATAAAAAATAGTGAAATATAAAAAAAATGGTCTTATATGTAATAGAAAAGGAATTAATACTTTTAAAATATTAATATTTTAAAATTTAAATTTAAATATAAAGTCGAGTGGGGACGAGATCGAAATGAGGATTGCATTACCCATTCCCGCCCGACTTTTTAAAGTAGGAAAAACCCGAACTCGCCCCGCCTCCGTCCTCAATCAACTCGAATTTTCCCTTCAAACTCGAGACGGAGATGAGTTGGCCCACACGGCAGTGCATTTAATTGTCATTCCTAAACCCGACCCAAGGACTAAATAAAAAATATTAATGGTTAAATATGACTTATATTTTAAAATTGACTATAATTTTTAGTCTACATTACTAGAAATAACCTTTTTTGCATAGTTAAAAAATGTTATAACAACAATTTTCGGACCTTCATTGTTCCAAATGTCATTAAAAATTAATAAATCAACAACAATTTTGAACCATCATCATAAATTATCCATACAACGACGATTATAACTGTCGTCATATGTCAAAACTCTCACTTTACTCCGTCATTGTAAATCTAAAAATTTTGTTACAACAAATCAATAAACAATACGACAAACCTAAAAGTTTCATCATGACAATGTTGCTCCGTCATTATTGTTCCCTACAATGGAAGTTTCCACTACTCTTTTGTTGCTCCACCGCAACAAACTTATAAACTTTCACCACTTTTTCATTATAGTTCTTCTAACTCAGCTTCAACGCGTTTAGTAAAATATGTTCCTCTACTTCCACCTCAGTAAATATTTATGGTGAAGAAAAACACTTTGAGAAAGAAGGAAAGAAAGAGAGAAAAAAAGAAGAAAAGAATTGAATAACGATGAACAAAGGAAGAAGAGAAGAATTGCAACGGAGTAGGAGAAGAGAAAAAAAAAGAAGAAAAGAGAAGTGAAAACGTAAATATGAAATGAACATAATGGATAAAATTGAAAATTTTAACGAAATATACGACGACGGTTCTTTTATAACCGTTGTTAAAAAGTTATACATAAAACGATTATAAATATAGTTGTCGTTATATGTTGGTATTTTGCACATATAATGACAATTCATTTAAAATTGTCGTCATATATCACACGTACGTTGAAGATTATACATGAATTGTCATTAAAAAATTAAAAATAATTTTAAAATTGTCCATATAATCGTCATTAAATGACGTCATCTTTTGTCTATTTTATACTAGTATTAGTATACATTTATGTTAGGTCAACGAACTAACAAACTAATTTTAGCCTGATTGAACTTAAAAAAAATTATTAACAAACTAAAACAAATAATTAAAAAACATTTAAATAAAAAATAAAAATATATTTTTAAAATTTAAATTATATTAATGAAACTAATATGTATTTAAGATATAATAATTTAATATATAAATTATAAGATAATAGATATCAAAATAAGAGTTAAAAAATTATTTTTTTATTGTCATTATTTATTTTTTTAATAATTTATTGATCTAAAGTATTAATTAATTTTAATAATTAGATATTAAAATAAGTAATAGTTAGAGACTTATTTTAATATTTATTTTTATAATAAATAAATTCTTTATCAAAATAATTTATAATAAATATATATTTTATAATAAAGTAATATAATTTTTTATTAAAAATAATTAATATTTATGAACTAATATTATCTAAATTCCTATGTCATAAGATAAAATAAATTTGATTTAATTTAAATTATAAATTTTTTATATATAGTCTGATTTATACCTCAAAATTTTCAACCCATCAATTGAGTTAAACATATTTTAATATCTTAATTTGAAAACACAGTGAGATGATTTAGTAAAGTTTATATACAATTTTGATTTTGGTATTTGATCTCTTTTAAAGGGGCGTGCTGTAGGACTTGACCAAGAATGTAACAATGGTGGTGGAGGAGGAGTGTAAGGTAGTGATGATGTTGTTATGAGTGTTTGAATATGAATAAAACTTGCCTTGGGTTTGAAGAAACTGATTGCATGCTTTATACTTGTATGTGCTATACTAATATGAGGAAAAGAAGGAACAAGAACAAAGCATGGAGTGAAGAAATGATTGTTCCGAGTTTAGGGGGAATTGATGATGTTTAACAAGTTTTCCGTGCTCTCTATCTGTTTAAATGTTGCCACTTTTTTTAGCATTTTGAATGGAAAATAATTGCTTCTTGCTTCCATCTGGGGAGTACTCCAATTACAATGTACGTATACCTCACCGTTTTATGTTACCCCTTTTTGTGACAGACTATAACAACATAATTTCCCTGTTAAAAAATATGTTTAGATAAACAACTTTGTTTTGGATAAGAAAACAAACTTCAATCATCAGAAGCTGTACTGTGTAAAAGTAGCATTCAGGTCTGCAAAATTAGTTTCATACAATACCATTAACCTGCTTCAGGAGAGTTTGATTCAAGTGAATAATTGAATTTAAAATATGATTAAAAAGAAATTCTATATTTTTTAATAGATTCTTATAAAATTAGTCATTTCCTTTTTTAAAAAAATCTTTGTAATTGTAAATAACATAAATTAGTTTATATACTTATTATTTAAAACTATACGCGGTCGTTTAAAATAAGTAATTTAAAATATACATTGTTTGGATATAAGCATTATTAATTTATTATTTCTCTGTCAGAAAAAAAGTATTAATACAAATTTTGAAGAAGTTCTGTTCTTATAAAACTCGCTTAAATGCATTTTTCTATTTTCAAATGAATAATAAATTTAGTTAAAATTTAGTCAAGACTCAATAAAATTTTACAATAATATTTATCTGAGTTCAGATTCATTGAACGTAGTATAAACATGAAATGTCTTTATATGATGTCGTGATGATATCATTCATCACAATTTGAAAAAAAAAAAAAAAAACTGCAGTTACCTAACTCGCGCAAAGTTAGAAAGTGACAAACTAAACTACCAATTAGAAATAGTGAAAGGCTTCTTTTGGGTGGCATGTGCTAATTCATCTTACACCTTATTCAAACACATTCCATCATGCACTTTTAAAACTCTAATTATTCTAAGAGAAGACATGAATTCTAAGATGAAAAGATGGCTCCTTAATTTATGCACCACTTAAAATATAAAAATCTTAGACCAATCAAATATAAGTTTATGTTAAGATTCTAATGACAATAATTAATTCACAACATATATATGAAATATGGGACTTTCAGCTGGTTTTTAAAATAAGTAAATAATTAGATTTGAAAAATAAAATTAAAAATAGGTTTCGACTAATAATGGTGAGACATCTTTGATGTAAACAAAAAAAAAAAGTGTGTTAGAAATGTTTTTGGTAGAAGACTTGTGCTTGAAGAAATGTTTGAAGATACCAAGGAATCCAATTTTGTTCAAAGCTTGTTCATGGAGTTTACTGGGCAGCAATAAGTGGTTACTATCATTTTCCTTAACGGTTTTTCGATGCATGTGCTAATCAATCATTGTATCAAGAAATTTCATTGGTTAAAAGTTTTGGGTGCTTTTTCTTTTTAATTTCCATTATATAAAGCAATACTATGACTTTAATTTTCTTTTTCTTTTCCCAGTGTTCAACACAGTACGCGTTTGGATGGCACAATAATTAATTACAGTGCATAGGATGAAACTAACTACTCATGTTTACATAATAGAAACCAGAAAAGTTTCGACAAGTATGAATACGAGTAATATTATTATATATACAATTTTAAAATAAAAAATTAGTAACTGAGAACAATCTTAAAATATTATATATGTTTTCTCTTTAGTTTTGATTGTACATTGTCTTAATTAGAAAGTATATTTTAGTTTAGCAAAACAATGTTATCATAAATATAGTTTGAAATGTTTTATATTTACATTATAAAGAAGTTATAATTTATTAATTCATTTGCTTTAAGACTAATGAATTTAAATAAATATTATTTATTAAAAAACATTTTTTAAGAAATAAAAAGTTAACTGCATGATCAAAATATCAATTTGAAATTTTAATAATTAATACTTCGAATAATTCATAAAAAATATTAGAAATAAATGTTATTTTATTGTTAATCTCATCGTTAGAGTAACTTGAAACAAGTCAGACTAACTCTAATTTGTTTTAATTAACTCTAACTATAATATTTATATTAAAATAATATAATTTATTTTTAAAAGTTAACAATTCTTGCATATATGCCTGGCAATAAATAATGTATTAGTTGGCTTTACACCACCTATTTTATTATTATTTGATATATTTATTTAAAGGATTTGTTCTTCAATGTAAATATTCTGAGCTCAAATAGTCAAAAATAAGAAATTCTATGTAACGTGGTTCATACACTATTAAATTTTTTAGTATTTGAGTGCTTTTGTTTTAAATTAATTTCTTATATTAAAAACAAATTAAGTATTTTAAAAAATAGGGTGGAAGTTATTAATTAAAATTAAGATACATTATCTATATTAACATGATATGTCAGAATTGAAAAAAAAATCGAGTTCAAATTAAAATTAATTTTTAATAAAAATGATTTAAAACAATGAAAAAAAACATATATAAAAGTACAAATGAAATGCTCATTATTAAAGTTAAACAATTTAATAAAAAAATTAAAAATATTTTTGCTTAAAAAATAATATCCATAACATTCCAATTTAGCAAAACACCTTCCTCGTGTGAACGTCTCACGTCTCAGAGCTAACGGAGTGTATCACCGACGTTGACGTCCACATACACCTCAGTATCCAATGTTGACAGGCATATAATAAACGTATTCTTTAATCAACTTATGAATAAATTTTATAATTTTCTATTATAAATATTAACTTAAATTATTCATGAAATAAAAAATTAATTATAATCTACTAATAGTATAAAAAAATTACACTACTTTATTATATTAATATAACTTTACGATGATTAGTATTTTAAAATATTAATTAATTAATAATGTAAATTTTCTATATTAACAATATATGAAAGTAAGAGTCATTTCGTTACAAAAGCAGTAAGTTATTTTAGTTTTGAAAATTAAGAAAATGTTATACCATTTGTTAGAATATTAAATAAATACTTAAACATATGCTAAAATTATCATTTTCATTAAATATTATCAATTTATATTTTCAGAACTACTATTTATTAATAAAAAATGTAAAAAATATATATTATATTGATGTAAAAAATAAATAATACTATAATGAAAAATATATTATCGCAAGGTTTTTGTTATGTTATTGGTTTGGGCAGGGTGTACGTTACGACTAGCAGTTTCCGTGACGAGAGCAATGATGGAGGGCACGTGCACCGACGGCATTAGTGGTGGGACCCACAAGGAAGGAGCACACACCAGCACTCTGTTCCACGTGACCACCAAATCAGGCATGCCTTGTAAACTTGGTGTAACTTTCATGATCTACAACATATTTGATATTATTTTAGTTCATCACACTCCTCTTCTCATTCTTTCACATTTTAATTAATACTTTGTTACATTAGTAATATATATGGTTGACTAAACATCTATTTATGATTCATCAAGTAAAGCTTCTTTTCTCATCATTTAATTTTCTAAACCATACTATTTATTTAATCTCTTCTTCACTCAAATATTAATGTTATAAATATATATTCTTTCTATATGCGTAAACTATGGATATAAATTGTTTCAATAACTCAAATCGTGATGTTGCTAGGGCTAACACCATGATAATTAGTATTGAAAATAGGTGGTTTTCAAAGTCATTCAAATTTAGGATCTAACCAATGACTTATTATGATTAACGTAGTGTTACACTTGATATTGATGTTAATATTAATAATGATTAGATATTCGTAAACTTATAAGTAGATGTAATTAACCTTAAGTTAATTTCAATATCTAAATCTCTCTCGATTTAGCCTTGGATGATTTACCATTAAAGTAATAGAACTTTGATTAACCAAAAAAAGGAAGAATAAGTGCTTTTTAACCTTACTTTGAATTTGGATAATGTGACACTAACTAAATTGGCAGTTACTTGTTTAAATTGCCCACGTCAAAAAGTGTCCATGCATGACAAAAGAATAATGCAGTGTCCCATCATCATTACCAATGCCAAAATATGTGAATGCATACGAATGAGTGTGAAAGCATGCACACTGAAACATCGGAATTATGGGGAATCTTAAAACTACAAAACAAAGATTTCTTTTTGGTCTTGTAAATATTTTGGTACATTTGCCTGTGATATTAACTTGTGAATTGAATAACCTTGTTATTTTTTTCTTTCACATTCCATAAAAGGAGCAGAAGGACGAAAATAGGCACTAAGGTAGTTTGTCTGTAGTGACCGTGAAGTGATTGATGATGTTCATGCAGCAGTGGTCTCACCAACATGTCTTATTGCAGAGAGAGACAAAGCGTCTCGTACGTTTGAGGAAGACTCAAAACCTTTCTTTACTCCTCAAATTTGGAAATATATGCACTTCAAGCATTGAAATTTGAAAAAAAAAAAAAACATTTTCGGTTCTTCAGCTTAAAAACAGAAATACCATATAAGACAAAAGTAAATATAAAAATATAAAAATATAATTTTTTTAATTCAATTAAAATAAATTACGTGCACGAATATATTAAATGGTAATCCTTATTTACTTAATTAAGTATATAATTATATGAGTATTTATAATAAAAAAAAATAAACAAATGGGTCAAATCCAATAATTCAGATTCCACATACTTAATAATCTCCTATATTTGGAGGTTGATCACATCAAACACGTTCTAAAATAAATCTAATAAACCTTAAAGTTATAATAACCTTAAGCTAGTGAAATGTCTTTCAACAATTAATTATGAAGGTCAGTTGAAGTTATACAAAATTTTAACTTCTCTCAGTAGTAATCACATTGGTCAACATATCTCTAGGATTATCTAACCCAAGGATTTTTTCCAAAAACAAAGTACCATCACTTATTAGTTCTTTAATGAAGTGATACATCAACTGGATGTACTTTGTTTTTGTTGCTTCTTGCCCAATTCCTCAAAAAAATTCTTCAACCAAATCATTTTCTTAATAACTTCTGAAATAGTTATATACACTGCTTTTGTCGTTGAAAGTGTAATGTTTTTTTGAAGTCGAGACATCCAACTAATTGTTGTGTTATTTATTGTGAAGACAAATCCTATAGTACTCTTCCTTGTGTCTAAACAATCTCCTAAATTTGTATCAAAATATCTTTCTAAAATGACATCATTTATTCTAAAACATAATGTAGTTTTAGAAGTACCTTTCAAGTAGTGTAACAACCATTTGACAGTTTTCCAATGCTTCTTTCCTAAATTAGACATGAATCTACTAACAATTCTAACTTCATGAACAATGTCTTAGTCTAGTGCATACCATTGTATACATTAAGCTACTGATTGCAGATCCATAAGGAACTTTAGTCATTGTTATCTTGTCTTTATCTGTCTTAGGTGACTCCTCTTGAGTGAGATTAAAGTGAACTCCAAAAGGTATACTTACGATTTTGGCATCCTGCATCTTAAATTTCTTTATCACTTTCCCAATATACTTCTCTTGAAATAATATTAGGAACCTTCAAATTTGTTCCTGTTGATATTCATGTCAAAAATCTGTTTTGCAATACTCAAATCCTTCATCTCAAACTCTTCAGATAATCGTGTCTTCAATTTATTAATTTCATCCATGTTAGAACCTACAACTAACATGTCATCAACATATAATAGTAATATGATATAATATGCATAAGGAACCTTAGTCATTGCATTCTTGTTTTCATTTGTCTTAAGTGACTCCTCTTGAGTGAGATTAAAGTGAATTTTCAAAGGTGTACTTACGATTTTGGCATCCTACATATTAAATTTCTCTAACACTTTATTAATATACTTCTCTTGAGATAATATTAGGGAACCTTCAAATTTATTCCTGTTGATATTCATGTCCAAAATATGCTTTGTAATACCTAAATCCTTCATCTCAAACTCTTCATATAACTTTGTCTTCAATCTATTAATTTAATTCATGTTAGAATCTACAGTTAACACGTCATCAACATACAATAGTAATATGATATAGAATGAACAAAATTTTTTCATATAACAACATTCTCCCAAGCTTAGACTTTTGCTTGTCCTCAAGCAAAGAGAATTTAATAAAAACAGGACGATAATGCAAACAAAATGATGAGTGTTTTTGATTGGGAATACATCGTCTTGTCTCAAATCCAAATTCAATCAATGATATTCCAAAAGTATTTATTCCACAATTGTTGTTGGGTCCCTAAGTGAGTTGAGGAAAGGATGTAAGGCACAAGACATCAAGGAAGACAATCTTTGAGCTTTATTTTCTTCTTTACAAAACTTTTTCTTAGGTTCTGGCCTAGAAGACAATTACCTGCCAACTAAACATGGATCTTCCACTCAAATGCTTTGCACTTGCCACACCCGGTCTCAAAGGAGTGCCTCTTTCCCCAGTAACTCACAGTCTCAAAGGGGTGTCATTTCACTTATTATGTTTTTTTTTTTTTTTTTTTTACATTATTGTGAACTAACAGACAATTCTCCAGTAACCAAATGCAGTGAGTGTCACCATAGAAACCTTAAAAATTTAAAAACTTTCATATCCTTTTTACTCTATGACTCAAAAATTTTCTTCCTTAAGTGTCATAGTGACCAAACTTCCTGTGTAGTGTGTGAAGTTTCCCAACAAATAATCGTGACAGATAACCATAGTATGATTCACAAAATATCACTGAACAAACTTGAGACTTGAGTTAAGATAATGAATTCCCAATTCAATGTATATGTTATGCAAATGTAACAACAAAATGGCATGCAATTGACCCTCCCAAGCTTAAATGTTTATGTTGTCCCCAACATAAGCAACATAACTAAGACTAGAAGGGATAGAACTCACAAAATTATGGTTGGTTGGAGCGGAGGAATTCCATCACCTCTTGGAGCAATTGTTCCATGCGTTGTTGATGTAGAAGTTGGGAATCCCAAAACTGCACGAATTCGGTATAATGGCGTTGGTGTTGAGTGCGGAGATTAGCAAGTGATTGAGTGATGCGAGTAACCACGTCAGCATGAGAATGAAGGGAAACAGAAGGAAGTGTCGAGGGTGGATTAGGGCGAGGATGAGAGGTATTGTGGGAAGTCAAATCTGAAAATGTCCACCTTGTTAGACCACGCACAGTTGTAAATTGTGGATTAGGAAGTGGTTGTGGTGACATGCCTTCAACAAAATTCATTACTAAACAATAGTGACCATCTCGTTTGACTAACATTTCGTTATTTATCAGCATCTCTAAATCAATGCGAGATGTCCCGACTATTGCCTTATCATCTTCCAAAGGAATGTTGAGATGTAATGCGATTGGAGTTATCAATCCACCAATTGCTATTTGTCCTGATGAAGCTTTTCCTATCTTAGTGAATTGACGAGCTAACCATGAACCTGAATCCAGTTGAACATCGTTGACCATCCCCCATAAGAATAATAATTCTGATTTCCTAACTGCAGCAGTACTATCGCCCCGAGCAAATAAAGTATGAGCTAACAATCAGTGAGCATACCGAAAACAGGGATGATGGATATGAGACTCTTTAGACTCTGAGGAAACAAAGTTTGCGGAGGTAGATAATTGGTGCCAAAAGGAATGTTCATTAAAAGCACGGGGATATCTTCTCTCACCTCCACTAGGAAACTCGAAAATAGCATTCAACTCAGTTAAATCAAGGGTATAATTAGTGTTATGCAATCTAAACTTAATCAACCCCTCTGTGCAATTTTTTCCTTGCAAAATTTCTGCATTCACCGAGCTAAGAAATTCTATAGTGATTCTCTCATAAGCTGGGTTGTTCAAGTTGACGAAAGAGTTCCAACCAACATTCCTCAACATCCAATTGATCTCTTCTAACATGCCCAATGTGTTCAAAGAAGTGGCATCAAAATAGCGTGTCAGAAGAATAGTTCTACGAATCAAGGAAGCATACCTCTGTTTTTGCTCTTCATTCTCGCAAATAATGCCATGGACATTGTCATCGGAGGAAAAAGAAGACCGTGACCGTTTTCCGGTCGAAGTCCCTACTATTGGAGATGGTTCTGCAGGAACAGAGACCGGAGTTGCTCGTTGTCGAGATGACGTGGGGTTTGCGTTGCTGGTGCCGGTGTGGATCTTACGACGGCCTGAGCAGCGGCTCTTTATCCGAGTAGACATGATGAAGTGACAGAGTGGAAGAGGGGTATGGAACAAGGTGGGTGTGCTGCACTAAGGAGAAGGAAAGAAACCCCCAACGTGAAATATGTTTTAGGGTTCTATTCTTCTAAAATAAATATATATATATATATATATA